AAACTATATTGCTACCTTGCTACGAACCTCCAAACAACGTGTAAGGTTGCCTTAGTAACCAGTACTTAATAATCTTGCTGCTCGTTATTATTCTGGGATAAATCAAAACTTGTGTAGATGTAGGCATTGTCATCCTTCTTCCTCATTATAGTTTATATAGATTATCAGGTTTCCTTACCCCCACCCCACTCGTAACAACTGTAGCTCTCACCTCTTATTCAATCTAATATTGTATACTGCTCTTATCATGAAATTATCTCGTCTGTGAAGTGAGGTGTGGCGTTACTCTTAGTGAGGTGTGGTGGTACTCTTAGTGAGATGTAGTGATCTTATGCTCACAAAGTTGTCTTGTTTGTGATGAAGTGGTGTGTGGTGGTGATCTTAGATAGCAGAGGATGTGGGCAAGAGTACTGGGCAAGACCGTCCCTCAATGTTGAAATTCAAGGTGAACAGTGTTGCCATTATAAAATGCTATGTTTTACTACTTCCCCTGGCAACAGCTTAAGAAAATTCATGAACATGCCTTCTAAATACATAAAGAGATGTAAGACTTTTTCGTGGAGAACAGGGACAGATAGGGCATTCGGCGCTCTATATCGTGCAAACAATTCTTTAACACATCTGTTCATGGGATCATCGCCCCCGCAGCCGGGTCTCAGGCCAGACCTAAATTGAGAATACAATACTGCAGAAATAAGAGCTAATGTACTAAAAGAAAAAAACAGGAACGCAAAGGTATGTAAATAAGTTTGTAAGATTTACCTGCCATCTTACATGTTCATACGGCAGAAAAATCAGTGCAAAACGTTTTACATACTTCAATTTCACTCATGACAGAACGGCAAAAAGCCTAATTAGCTTAGCTTGGCAGCTCCTATTTTTAGCCAACCATCATCAATCATGTAAGACTGAAGGGAGACGGGCTGTACATATTGCTTTACATCATTACATATGCTTTTCATATATATATATATATATGTGTGTGTGTGTGTGTGTGTGTGTGTGTGTGTGTGTGTAGGCTGCATCTTGCACAAAATATTTCTGTACAACCTTTTTAATTATGTACGATACTAGCGGTTTTTGTCTTGCAGTTTCAAGTTTCTGTATTGTTCCGTATGCACACATCTTTACTTCCCCCTTCTTATTGTTCTTAATTTTGTAATATTTCCTTTTCAATCTACGAGGCCTGGTCCGAGACCGTGCTGTGATGATAATCTCCAGAACCACAAACTGAAACTAATACCCGCATTATTATTTATAGAACACAGAGGGCATACACATGTGCCAAAATGAGATATAAAACAATGAAACATTAAAAATCAGTCATCCTCACTGGCCGTGTTGGGTTATACTAAGTTATAAATTTATATCACTGCTCGCTGTTTTATGCGTATATTGATCATTTGTACACAACAGTGTTTAAATATCTATGTGAAAAATCTAGATGCATTTTTTAAAATATATAAATGTAAAAAAATGCTTAATGAAATTAACCTGAATAAACATGTCAGCCAAAGCTAGCAAATAAAAAGTTATAAGAGGCTTATTTTCAACCTACACGTATCCTTGAAACTTGCCAGTATATATACATCGCGTAACGCAGGTTTAGATTTTAACAATAATTGGCTTATGCATGATTATATCTTATTGTAAAATTTAAGCTTTCGTTCTGAAATTGCGGAAGAACGCAGCAAATGTATATTATTTCATTACTGAATATACGTTTATGTATGCAAAACAACCACGGGGGAGTAGAATGATAGTTCTAGGCCTTTCGTGCTGCAGACTATCTACGCGTTTCGTGTTGCAATCAACACGAAAGGCCTAGAGCTATCATTCTACTCCCCCGTGGTTGTTCTGCATCCTGTATCGCTTGGTTTGCGATATTTGCATTATGTCTATGTACCTGGAGTTTACCTGGAGAGAGTTTCGGGGGTCAACGCCCCCGCGGCCCGGTCTGTGACCAGGCCTCCTGGTGGATCAGCGCCTGATCAACCAGGCTGTTGCTGCTGGCTGCACGCAAAACAACGTACGAGCCACAGCCCGGCTGATCAGGAACTGACTTTAGGTGCTTGTCCAGTGCCAGCTTGAAGACTGCCAGGGGTCTGTTGGTAATCCCCCTTATGTGTGCTGGGAGGCAGTTGAACAGTCTCGGGCCCCTGACACTTATTGTATGGTCTCTTAACGTGCTAGTGACACCCCTGCTTTTCATTGGGGGGATGGTGCATCGTCTGCCAAGTCTTTTGCTTTCGTAGTGAGTGATTTTCGTGTGCAAGTTCGGTACTAGTCCCTCTAGGATTTTCCAGGTGTATATAATCATGTATCTCTCCCTCCTGCGTTCCAGGGAATACAGGTTTAGAAACCTCAAGCGCTCCCAGTAATTGATATTAATATACTATATCAACAATAAGACAACTTTTAATAGAATAAATATTAGAAGCAATTAACTTACTTGAGCAGCCTAGCTAATACAAGCCCAGGAACATCGAAGTACTCGACTCAAAAATCATAACAGCCTAATGGTTTCAGGCGAAAGAATTTCTAAGTACTGAACTTGAAACAAGAAATGCCACTACTAGCGAACGATTTTAATGTAACAACATATGAATGCACATTAACTGATGAATTTGTAAAATTTTTCATACATAACTAGAAAATATATACTTTACAGAGCTTTTAAAACCTTCTTATAACAACTGTTATGGATGGATGCATTACCAAAGCACTCACTCAACTGTACTCAGCACAAGAGCACTTAAAGATTTTATTCAGACAATTAACCTGAAAGGTTAGTAACCTAGGATAACCTATAATAAAGCCATTATGTCAGTAACCTAGGATAGCCTAATAAAGCCACCATGTCAGTACTCTTACGATAATCTAATAAAGCCAATGTCACTTATTTTTACTGGGGGACCCTTGCTCTTCTCCAGAATGTGACCCACAATAATCGCCTAATACCCAGGTACCTACTTACTACTAGGATACCCAACATTTCAACTTGCGCTTCGATCGAACCCCCTCTCCAACCCCCCCTTTTTTTATACGAACCGAAGACTGTGCATGAGCACCCTGCCCAACTTTACGCATATTTCATTCAACTTACTATGACAATCAGACAAACACCATTATTCCCCCCCTCGCGACATTTCACTTTAAGCATATTTCATTCAACTTACTATGACAATCAGACAAACACCATTATTCCCCCCCTCGCGACATTTCCCTTAGTGGGAATGGTGTGGGGAGCTGGGCTGACAGGCTTGGCCAGAATCAATGCTACATTAACATAATAAGCACGATATCACCCCCTCACAGCCTTGCCCTTCCCTCTAACCCACACATTTCTAACTTTATATTCAAAGAAACTATAACCGGGTATAACGATAATACGAAACGCATTATGTTTTATTGAATATTACTTTCGCGTCTTAATAGTAGAAGAAATTATATATATATATATATATATATATATATATATATATATATATATATATATATATATATATTATATGTGTGTGTGTGTGTGTGTGTGTGTGTGTGTGTGTGTGTGTGTGTGTGTGTGTGTGTGTGTGTGTGTGTGTGTAGCACAGCTTACAGGTTTAGACGACATTCCGGAAATGCGTGGTAAATTTTAAGATAAATGGAGACACGAGAGGGTTATAACAGAATAGTTCAGGTAACTTGAAAAAAATGTGTTATGATCAATGTTTGTGAATAATGAGAAGTCTAGGGGTTTAGTACCGTTTGGAATTTTTGTAAAATCATTTTGAAGCTTATTCTATATCGCAGTTACCGTCTTTGTAATATAAAATTATATTAAATCATACATTTCTTTGAAGGTTTTAACCACTGATCTCTCGCAAGTGGCTATATAATAGTTTCTTGCATTATTGTAGCTCGAAGCCCCATCCTAACCTGCGTTGGATTCTTGGCAAATCCTTGGCATTTCTATACTCGACGAAAATACAATAAATGTTATGTTTAGGTGAGCATCGTAATATCCTATTATCTCTTGGGTCACCTTGCCTTGAAATTCATCTTATCATAATACGTTGTCAATTAGTATTTCCGTTGGTACAACAGAACTCTAAACTCCTTACGATAGCCTACAGCATCATCGTCGCATTTGTACTCGACACGTATCTTGACGAAAACCAGGCTGTAACAAACGTGCTCATGAACAAGATGGACAGTTCACAGGTGGGTCCCCCACACGCTCCCAAGATAATAGTGTAGTGATGTACACCAGAGGCTGGCAGCCGGCGAGGGCCTGCCTGGAGGGAGTCAATACTCAATGTGTGTGTGTGTGTGTGTGTGTGTGTGTGTGTGTGTGTGTGTGTGTGTGTGTGTGTGTGTGTGTGTGTGTTTGTATGGGTGTGCGTGTTTGTATGGGTGTGCGTGTTTGTATGGGTGTGCGTGTTTGTATGGGTGTGCGTGTATGAGTGCGTGTGTGTATGGGTGTGCGTGTGTATGGGTGTGCGTGTGTGTATGGGTGTGCGTGTTATGGGTGTTCGTGTGTGTATGGGTGTGCGTGTGTATATGTGTGCGGGAGACAAGACAGGAGATAGGTATCGTAAAAGTTGGGATAGTATTAGTTTGCTAACCACTGCAACTATTATGGGCAAGTGTATACCGTAGACTTTAACATGGACTAGACAGTTATACTCAGATGACGTGCCCATTCATAAAAGAAAAGAAATTTGCTTAAACCTTCAAATGTTGAATTAAACATCAGGAATATAAACACGTGTTCTGTATTATTAAATACTCATCGTTCGAATTTACCATTCCTTGTATATTTACCGCTTAGAATAAGTGTAAACAATCTGGCGCCGAATGTAAACAGCAAACAGTAAATAATAACTGCAGGATTATATGGTAAAATTGAAATATAATCCAGGTAAAATAACCCACGTCAACCTTTACAAAATATATATTCCTGTAAGGTAACTAAAGCAAGGTCTTACTAAAAGATCGTAGACGTATTTACAACTTACAGAGGTAGTTGAAGGCGCTGGCAATATTCCAGAGTCTGATGGAGTCGGTGTAGGATGATGGGGCGTACATGGTGCTAACTCCAGCCATGATGCTTACAACTCCCCACTAGTTAATGTTCACTACCTTTACTAAGCGGTCCACATGTCCGACGGCACTACAGAGCGCACTCTACCGCCACCACAACTTTAATGATCCAACCAGACGTCAGTTAAGCATTCACCGGAACACACGTCGTTGCATGTGACCTGAGCTACCTCCTGGAGGGGGGTTAGGGGGTCACTTAGGCTGCTTCAAGGTCGCCCCAAAAGGCAAAACAGGTCAGGTTTGTAGGGGCAGCCGAGGTGTGGAATTGACACAGGAATATGATACGCAGCCACTTCAGGTCAACCAATTTGGCAGTGTTGTAGAAGGCTGGACAGGTCACTTTGGGGCCGCTGGAGTCTAAACTAGGATCCAATTGTACACAACAATGGCACTTAAAATTCGTTTGAGTTCCTGTTGGGAATCTGCAGTCTTGAGTACAGAGTTAACCGTCGTTCCAGGAGGGTTCGTTGTTTGGGAAAAATGTTAACACTGAAAAATTTCTGTTACACTTGATCACAGTCACAGAAGCGTCTCCGCTAAATTCCAATGGAGTTATGTCGCTGTAGTGTTTTACACGCTTCACTGCAGTACAAAAATGCTCCACGCGAAATCTACACTTAACTGTAGCATACGTAATGTTAGTGACTAAGTAGGTAGCACCTTGAGGTTTCAAATGAGGAGCGCGAAAAAATGCGTGCTATCAAACTCGCGGCTCCTACATGACTGAGGGAGTGAGGGGAGTTGAGAGAGCCTCAGGTAGGGGACGCTGGACTCGCCGCTGATTGGCTACTACCGTTTCCGACGCCACGCCTCCTCACGCGTACCGTACTAGACACCTTCACACAATTAACTTTTACCTATTAATACCTCTTCTTTACACTCTATACATCCAAAGGAAGAAAATCCAACGTCACATCACAAATTTTTAAGGCAGAAGAGAGGGATAAAGTCAAGAAACATGAGTTAGAGGGAAGTGAACTGAGGTGTGTGTGTAGAGGTGTATTCACCAGCTCGCAGGCACACCACCTACCATGGTTGAGGATGCTCAGTATAGCGCGAGATGTCCATCTGTTCAGTTGCTCTCCCGCTGCGGAAGCTGCACACGCAAGGCGCTCTGACTGCAGTTTCTGGGTTCAAAGTTTCATTCTGGGTTACTTAAAATCGTCATCAATTATGTGCGCTCTTTGCTTATAACAATGTGCTTAAAGCAACCATTCTAGAAATTTAATACGGCCGTCTGTATTAAAAAAAAAAAACTGATTTAAATAAACCATCAGTATCTCTTAGTGGGGCATTAATAAAAAAATATAGTCATAAAGATAAATGCGCGAATATTTAGATAAAAAAGGAACTTTATAATGAATGCAATAGGAGGTGTGTTTGTTTTCCATGGTCTACTATTCTTGACATATCTCATTACGGAGATACGGCAAAATATCCTCGCATCAATCGTGCAAATCTGAACGTTATCTGAGCTTGAGCGCACACTACTGCCAGACGTGTTGCGGCCAGTTTCTGATTAACATATAAGTGGTTAAGTTACTGTTTTAGAGATTTAAATTTAGGTAACGTAAATGACAAAATTATTATTTCTAAATGGAACGTTTATAAATTGACGCTGTTTAAGCGAGCACAAACAAATCGAAAGTTTTGCGACTAAAACAGGTTGCAACTAATTATTTAAAGAACTGGTATAAAATAATATTTATTAGAAATGCATTAATCAAACCCTATGAATAAACAAGATATGTATAAAACTTGGTTTAAATATCAAGATTCTATTAACTTCATTATTATTATTATTATTATTATTATTATTATTATTATTATTATTATATTAATTATAATTATTGTGGTTATTATTATTTAATGTTAATATTACTAGGAAAAATCAGTTTACGCTATTTTATCAGGTTATATTTCACCTCATGAGCAGCCATGAGTGTTGAGGTGACAATAAACACACAAACGTTGTAGCTGGTATCAAGCAGCAAACACAGGCACAAATCAGACACTTGTTTGAAGCTTTATCAAGCTGACACCCGGAAAATTCGACAATAACGACAAGAACAACACCGTCAGTTGCGGGAGGCGGCGCGGCTGCCAGCGGCACGACCACCTCCACTTCTCCTCCTGATAAATTAACCACACGAACTACGCGTAGAAGTTACATGTCCCAAATTCGTCTTTTATATAATTGCAAAAATAACGCCCAAACTACACACGTATATCATCAAGTAATGATATAAAAAGGGTAAGTTTAGCATCGTACATCACAGAGGGGAGGGGAGGGGGTGAGGGAGGCGGAGCAGCGGGGGGTGAGGGGCAGGGAGGAGCCAGACTGCGCGCGCAGCTACTCTCAGAACCTGTTGGTGTGGCGGCGGCGGCGGCGGCGGCGGAGGTACTGGCGGCGGCGGTGGCAGTAGTGGTGGTGGTAGCTACGGCGGACTTTTCAAAGCACCTGCTGCCATAACCCTAAGTGTGAGCTGCCGCCGTCGCACTCACTTTCGACACCTCCTTAAAACCTTGCTAGGTAAAAGGACACAAGTGCAACTAATGCGACATTTTATTGCGACAACGTTTCGCTCTCCAGGAACCTGTCAAGCCGTTACTGCTTGACAAAGTTCCTGGAGAGCGAAACGTTTTCACAATAAAATGTCGTATCAGTTGCGTTAATGTCCTTTTACCTAGCATACTGTACGTACCAACATTATCCCTAAACCCTGATGGAGGCTGGGGGGGTACTCTCGATCCAAGGAACTGGAGCTCTACCCTACCTCGCATCAAACCTCATCAGCATCTCAATGGAAATAAGTCACTTTATCTGTCTTTTTTTTTTTTTAGGGAGGAGGAATTATCCCGGGTAATTTACACAGATTAAACCATGTATGATGAGAGAATTATGTCAACCTGTAACTAAATAAACTTCTCCGATTTCTCATAAACTGGACCGCCCCTACGGTTTACCGATTCTCCAAAAATATAAGAAAAATGTAATTCTGACACCTCTCTCACTCTCTCCATATAATTATATATATACATATATATATATATTATATAAATATACTATATATATATATATATATTATAAATATAATATATATATATATGTGTTGTGTTTTGTGTAGTGTGTGTGTGTGTGTATGTGTGTTGTGTGTGTTTGTGTGTGTGTGTGTGTATGTGTGTGTTGTGTGTGTGTGTGTGTGTGTGTGTGTGTGTGTGTGTGTGTGTGTGTGTGTGTGTGTGTGTGTGTGTGTGTTGTGCCGAATAGGTAAAACTGGTCAATTAGCAAGAACTCATTTAAAATTAAGTCCTTTCTTAAATTTTCTCTTATACGTTTAAAGATATATTTTTTGTTAATGTAAAAATTAATAATTTTGTACCAAAAGAGCTTTAGAAAACTTACCTAACGTTATTATAACAAGTGCAATTTAATTTATCCTAATCCAACTAAATATATTTTATGTTTACAATAATTTAATAAACAACACAATGAAATATATTTTGTTTTCGTTAGGTTCAGAATGATTTTTGGCAAATTATTGCATACACAAATTTTCGCTTGTCTTATTTGACAAGAAGCGCGTTGCTATTTAAGCCAAAATTGCAAGCTTTACCTATTCGGCACGACATATATATATATATATATATATTATATATAATATATATATAAATATATATATATATAATTACTGTTAAAAATCTATCAACGAAGGTGAAGGGCTTTTGATCCAAGGAGTTGTAACTGTTGTCTCTTACTTGGATCGAACCTGGTTACTTTGCTTCCCAGATGGCGTAATGACCCCTGTGGGTTTAGCGCCTCCCCGCTAATAGTAATAACTATAGTAACAGAAAATCGTAAATTGTGCAGTTTAAGAACGTAACTGTAACAATGTTAATGTTTAAACAAAGTTAACAATGTTGATGTTTAAAAATGTAACTGTTACATTGTTAATGTTTAACAATGTAACTGTTACATTGTTAATGTTTAACAACGTAGCTGTTACAATGTTAATGTTTAAACATCGTAACTGTGTTAATATTTTAACATCATAACTGCTCATTACTGAACATTCTGGTAACTGCTGAATGTTAAAAAAATAACATAACTGATACACTACTAATGTTTGATGAACTCCAGCTCCTGGAACTCGCGAGGGTGCGTACGTATGTACGTGTGTGTGCGTGTGTGTATATGTGTGTGTGTGTGTGTGTGTGTGTGTGTGTGTGTGTGTGTGTGTGGGTGTGTGTGTGTGGTGTGTGTGTGGGTGTGTGTGTGTGTGTGTGTGTGTGTGTGTGTGTGTGTGTGTGTGTGTTGTGTGTGTGTGTGTGTGTGTGTGTGTAAATTTGGTACTTAATATACCGAGATTGTGTATGTCTTGATGCACTTATACCGAGGTCTCTCTCTGTGTATGTACATGTGATAATATATATATATATATATATATATATATATATATATATATATATATAATATATATATATATATATCATACATTATATATATATATATATATATATATATATATATATATATATATATTATATATATACATTATGTATATATATATATATATATATATATTATTTATATATATATATATATATACATTATATATATAATATTATATATTATTATATATATATATATATATATATATATATATATAATATATATATATATATTCCTGGAAATGGGAAGTACAATACCTGCACTCTAAAGGAGGGGTTTGGGATATTGGCAGTTTGGAGGGATATGTTGTGTATCTTTATACGTATATGCTTCTAAACTGTTGTATTCTGAGCACCTCTGCAAAAACAGTGATTATGTGTGAGTGTGGTGAAAGTGTTGAATGATGATGAAAGCATTTTCTTTTTGGGGATTTTCTTTCTTTTTTGGGTCACCCTGTCTCGGTGGGAGACGACAGACTTGTTGAAATATATATATATATATATATATATATATATATATATATATATATATATATATATATATATATATATATATATATATATATATTATATATATATCATGCGAATAGGTAAAATTGGTCAATTAGCAAGAACTCATTTAAAATTAAGTCCTTTCTATTCATGCCGAATAGGTAAAATTGGTCAATTAGCAAGAACTCATTTAAAATTAAGTCCTTTCTAAAATTTTCTCTTATACGTTTAAAGATATATTTTTTCATTTATGTTACTGTAAAAATTAATGATTTTGTACCAAAGAGCATGCCCCTTGTCGGTTTAGCGCTTTATTTGATTATTTGATTTGTTCCAAAAGAACCTTAGAAAACTTACTTAACCTTATTATAATAAGTGCAATTTAATTCAGCCTAATCCAACTATATTTTAGATAAGTTAACAATAATTTAAGAATAAACAGTGAAATATATTTTTTCGTTAGATTCAGAAAGATTTTTACAAAATTATTGCATGCACAAATTTTCGTTTGCCTTATTCGGCACGAAATTATATATATATAAACATTGTCTCTACGTCCACAGCAGGACTCGAACCTGCAAACTCTGTATCAGAGCCCACAGTACTTTAATACGGAACCAGACTGTGGGCTCTGATACAGAGTTTGCAGGTTCGAGTCCTGCTGTGGACGTAGAGACAATGTAAATAATTTCGCCTGTTTGCGAACTGTTAAGCATATTACATACATACATACATACATACAAATATAATATATATATATATATATATATATATATATATATATATAT